ATTTTGTCTAAAACCTCGTCATTGCTGACATGTTTGACCCATGGTATCCTCATCATCTTTCTGCAGAACTACATTTCTGTTGCTTCAAGTCTCTTCCTCATTTTTGAGGAGTTTTTGTAAAGCTGTAATCACAGAAGAAGAAGACTAAGGCGAACACTAATTGCGATTCTGTTTTTCGAAGGACGCTGGAAAAAAGACTAAGTCGTTAATATTAAATGGCAAGATCATTTTCGAACATACTTCCTGTACTTTAAACAATACGAACTTAATACGCACGAACTTCATACGAAAATAACAACCGACATTAGGTTCAGAAAACAATATGGCTTTTACATGCTTAACATTCATTGGGTACGGAGGAATTAATTTAACAGTTACAAATAAACAAAAAAAATATAAACCACTTATTAAGATGAAATATCATTATAACAGAAAGGTTAACTTTCTTATGTACAGCTTTACCCAATATTGTGCAAGTCTTAAACATTGCAACGCATTCATACTTCGTATCTTAGATCCCAAAAAGAAAAAAGTAGATACATCAAAAATTTAGTAGCCTAATAATAAGAGAAGCATTTATTTTACACATTTTTTCAAAGAAATCTCTTTCGTTCTCAATGTCCTGAGCCAAACAATTCACTAATAACCACATTATCGAACATTATTCAGTAAAAACTTCAGCTCTGAATTCAGTTAGTAATTGTGTTAGACTACAAACTTATTGATTGATCTTCGTCGTATCGTTCCTTAAAAAACAGATGACTTTGCTCTTTTCACAAATGCTTCATCAGTTTGAATACGTTATTAAATGTCATTTGCTTGGCATTGAGAATATAATTTCATGAGAAAGACCTGTTGTTGATAGAACCGTTTAAGATTTAAAATGATTCGGCGCTTTCGGTTATTTGTCTAGACATTTTCTGTATTTAGACGTGTGCGATATAGGCGAAGACCATTAATAATTGCGGGGAAATCTGTAATTACACAAGTCCTTTTATTAAAATTGAGTTTTTAAATTTCAGCGTTGTGGAGTTTATGAGTCTAGATGGAGTCGTACATAACGTTATATGCAAGTTCTCAGGTATAGTGATTTTCCAAGCTTAGATGTGGCACAAGGCCGAAAGTATGAAGCACCCAGTGAGGATCGAACTCACTACTCAGTCGTAATTGTTCTAACGAGACAAGCTTGCTAACTATTATACCGCCTCGAGGTGCCAGAGTTATGGGGTATAATATATCAGTTAAATACGTTCATAAACAAAGTACTTTGATTGAAAAGATATTCAGCTTTGAACTATTTCAATGACTGCCTCGGTAACATTTATCATCAGTTAGAAGCTGCTGTCGTGGTGTTTTTCAGGAAATAACTCTTATAGCACTCGCAGAGCCGTCCGCTCCCTGTCTTGCATATAGGGCACTTACCTTAGAGAGCAAGTCTTGTCCTATTATTGATTTTGATTCTTATACATTGCGTGAAAATAACAACAAAATATTATCAATCTGTACTGTTATTAATATATCTATTTTGCAGATAATTGCTTTACTGCTTCCTTCATTTAAAGCTTTCACAGATGAATTTCTATGCCGATTTGTGTCAGTTTGGTTTAATCTCTCTTTCATTTGGTCAATTATATATATAATATTACTTCATTCCAAAATAACTATATTAGTGGAATTGTTAAAATGTGTTAAAATATTATTTCTGTTGCTCTTTATCGTAAATCTATCATTCTATGATGATAATTGAGAGAGCAGTATGCCAAAAGAAATGACGCTGGAATAGAAATATGCAAAGCCTAATATACTCATCAGGACACCCAGTCTGATATACCAGGTACATACATCAAAGCCAAATATATGCGACATGGTGACAAGTTTTGATAAAAGGCAGCACATAACCATGCATGTGGGGCCCAGTTATCAGTTCGCCCAGAAAGTCTCCGATTGAGGGTGTCCCACAGTATCTAATTATTATTATTATTATTATTATTATTCAATTTACAAATCACAGCTCCGTTGTCGGCTTTTACAAAACGATCAAACTTCAGCAAGAGACCTCAGGGTTTCCTAAGTGTGTGCAGTTCCTTGTAAATAGTTCTTCAATTGAAACTCGGACTGTTCTCGTCCATATGCTTCTTATTTGCAGAATCTAGAATTTCAGTTCCTGATAGCCCATTATTATTATTAGAATTATTATTATTGTTGTTGTTGTTGTTGTTGCTGCTATTTTGGTGTCTCGCATTGACATAGTCAGTGGAAGTTCTGTTCTTGAGGCATAGTGTCAACAAGACTCCTCAAAACTTAAGAACTTTTTGAAAAATCATCATGATGGCAGTTTTCTGGTTATCTACAAACTTGATCTTAGTTCCAATTCTCCTTAAGTGTTTTTTTTCAGGGTGCTGTTCCAAGCGAACCCATCACTACGGGAATTAGTTATGCATTCATGTTCCATAGCTTTTTCAGTCCCTATGCAAATACTGGTATTGTTTTATATTTTCAGTTTCCTTGAATTCCACTCTTGAATCGTATGGAACAGAAATTCAATAATTTGACACTTGCTATTCTCCTTATCAATATGGTCAAGTCTTCGTAGTTCAGTGATATAATCTGTCTGGAGTGAGAAATCCTATATCTTATATTATTATTATTATTAATCAGATTCACAATAGCACAATATTTGAAGCTGAGAGGCATCGATTGGTATAAATTTCAGTGTAAAATATCTTTGAAAGTGAGTATATTCGAGATTTTAATCATTCGTCAGTCAAATAGAACATGCTAAAACATAGGCATCTACGTAGATACATGAATACACGTCTGCATATACTTATAATTACTGCTACATACTCCTACGCTTAGACATATAAATTGGTTATTTGCGCTTTAAATGTACTCGGTGATGAGAACACTGGACAACAGTCATAGAGATCACAGTTTATATTTGTTGCCTGGATTCTCAGTACATCCTTGTCTAAAAGACAGAAAACCCGATTGTAAACCAAACAAAATGCACTCTTTTAATGAATACTTCTTTTATGATTTCAAGAAACGCACAAAGTATAAATGTAAACTATAAACATGTTAAATCGTTATTTTTGGTTTGTTTTTTTTTTATATATAGGACAAACTCGGTAGTCACTCGAGTAAAATAAAAAGGGCCCTTCTAGCCAATCTTTCAAGTTAACGTTAAGGTTGCTTGACTACTCAATCTGCAAAATCAAACAATTTAATATCTTTAAAAAAAAGTAACTGAAATCTCATTTTCATCCTATTTAATAACCTGAGGAGTACGAAGTATCTTAAGATACTTCTTATCCCTCATGTTATTAAATACTGCTTATTTTAACTGAAATATTTGTCAGGGTTGTCATTTACTAAGCTTAGCTGAGATTGGCATAAGATCACATGTATGGTACTCTAAGTGAGAATCAAGCTCATTATTAATGGCCAACCAGATTAGCTCGCTAACTATTACACTACCTTTGTCAATGGTGAGGATGTTTCATTGTAACTTTATGAACAAGTATTGTCTTTTTTACAGCATACGTGTTTATAAAATTATCTATGCATCTGAATGAAAAAAAAAAAGATTCAATTATCTTTTCGAATAATTCAATCTTCATCCTTTTCCGTATTTGCTACAACGTAGCTTGCTATGTAGCCCATAAGGGAGGTAACTGAATATAATTTCAGTTTACAGGCCTCAAAAAGAGAAAAAGATGAAACGTAGAATATCTTCTTACTTTATAATAATATTAAATAACCAAAGAGGGAACTGATGATGTTGCGGGAAGTCAAAATGAAAAAAAATCACTTGACATACTATCTGGTATATTAGATGAATGGATAAAATGTGGTGAGATATTTCACTTCCTCCTCACCTTGTACGTCTAGTGCCTTTTCATATCTTTTTCGCCTGCATGATTTTTGGCTTGAATCTCTTTCCTCCCTTCCTGTCTTTCCAAGTTTTTTTCCTACGTCGTTATCACTTAGTACCGCATGACGTTGTGTATAGACGGTTGCAATCTCTAAATAACTCCCATTCATAGAAATAATAGCAATATTGATAGTGTATTACGTTCAGAGATTGGACTGTACGCAAGACAGTGAGATAACAAAGCTCTTGTAGGTGTTTAGAAAAAGTTAGAATATTAATGCTTGTGATGATTATGAAATGCTGAGTGGAGAAGTATGTACGGACAATAATGACAATAATATTATCATTTATAACAGAGATTAATGTTACGGATGATGATGATGATAATAATAATAATAATAATAATAATACACATTGAAAGAATCCCTGAAACCCCAGCTTAAGAGACATACAGAAAATTGTCTTATTATTACAGCACACACACTAAGGAGAACTTTGTCTATGTAACGCTAGCAACTTCATCGGAGATAAAAAAAAAAAAAAAAAATTAACATGAAATGTGGCCATAACAACACACCACGACCTGCCTTAATTTCCCCAGACTTAGTAGGTAGTGTGTCCATAACAGAAATAATAATAATAATAATAATAATAATAATAATGATGATAATAATAATAATAATAATAATAATCCCTTGACTTTTGTAATCGTACGGAAGACCCAAATGCAGAAATATCCTCCACAACGGTCTATCAACAGCAGCCATCAGCAATTCTGTTATAGTCATACCTGTCCATTGTTTGACATTGTCCAACCAGTTTGGCTATTATAATAGAGATTAATATAGTGGTAAGAAAGCAATAATTATATTAATTGGTTGTTATTGTTTAGCGGTATATCAAAATCTAAATATTTTGTACGAAATTTTTTTAATAGGGAGATAATAATGGTTTTAATGATACAAACCTTACTAATTACCATATAGCTGGGAAAAGGTGGATTAATACCTTTCCCATGGGTATTTTCGCATAAGCGCATAAAATAAACTCGACTGGAATTGGAATTCGGATCTCCGATTAGCAATTCTGAGCCATTATCCATTATATCATCCACACGCTTAAGCTTACAGCACCTGGTATTTTCAAGCGCTCACCCATCTAGGTACTGACCAAGCTTGACGTTGCTTAACGTCGGTGATCCTACGGGAATCGGTGTTTCAACATGATGTGACCTTAAGCCAAATTAAATTAAGATAGCGAATTGATTTGGTTATTTTTGTTATGCATCAATGCATAGAAAATAGATAAATATGAATAAAATAATCAATTGACAGGCAAAACAACTAAACCATATTCAGTTTATCCAAAATGTGAAATTTAATTTTCACTTGACTCATTTTGTGAAAAGCTCTAGCTCTATTTTTATTTTTGTTTTATTTCTTTTTCTTGTTAATATATTCACTATTTTTCAGGGTGTGTATCCTTAAACTACTAAATTTGAAGGAAATGGTACTATTTTGAAGTTTTCGTATAAAAATGAACAAAAAATGGTACATAGATTAAATAACCAAATTGTTCTCCAAGTTTTTCGTTTATATCACTCTGAAAATTTTTTTGTTTATATCATTTACAAACTGTTAGAGAGAATAACTTATATCTAATTATTAAATATTTATTAATTTTATTATAATATTATGATTATCTATTAATATTTTGTGACAATTTACATATGAGTTCTTGAAGTTTGTTATTTCTATTTTATTGCATTTTTTATAATTTTGCATTATTTTGAATACAGATACATAATTTAACCCCTTGTTTCTCGCGCGCGCGCGCGCACACACACACACGTATGCACACACACGTATGCACACACACGTATGCACACAAAAATCACATATATATTAACATAATACTCATAAAAATAACGGATTGGATTAAAGTATCTGTGCAATTACCGACATCGCGCCAGGAATCATTGTGGTAATTATGTGCTCAGCCTATGATCAAAACGTCGCTTCGGTTCTCTACATAAGAAAAATGTAGTGTATTTGTGTCTTACACACACACAATATATATATATATATATATATATATATATATATATATATATATATATATATATATATATATATAACTTAATAAAAAATACATAAAATTACTAGAATGCAACGTATTTCAAGGCAAGGCTGGCAGAGATTTTAGCATAAAAGTCTTTGGAGAACTAGAACGGTAATAGTCAATAACTTTTGACCGAATGTAAATGTCAATAGTACACCGTTAACAAAATAAAATCTTCACCAACTTGAGTTTATGAGTTATGTAGCTGAAACTAAGTCAGTCACATGAAGATAATTAGATAATGACTAGTTTTACTAATTTGAAATTCAGTTTGATTGAAAGTTATTAATATTTAACATTTGAAAATCTCACGTTCACATGTTAAATGAAAAAAACTTTTCTTTTTAAATAAATGCCATTAAAGTCAGTCACTTCCCAATATTAAAGATACTGATAGGGTTAATTATTGAATTCTATGGAAAGTGGCAGTTTACTCTGTTTTAAGTTCTTTGCCTTTCTGTTGGTTGAACTGAAGAAAACAAGCTTTATCACCTGAATTCTGCTGGTATACACAAAAGTTGAATGAATTAGAAATCTTTGATTAGTCTACTAAATTATTTAGCGTTTCCTTGTGCCTCGTGAGACATTTTCACATATATCACGACATCACTTAGAAAAGGAATAACTTCAGTTTTTATTAATTTCTTCTTTTCTTCAAAGGGCTTATTTTACGCTTTGCTTTCCTTTACCATTGGGTAGAACTTCATATACCAAACGTTCAATTGAGGAAGGACTGGGGTAAGAGTGATGGGATAAATTTTCTGAGGAACTTAGAGGTTATTTGCCAACAAAACATGATTTGCGTTATTTCTTCATCCTTTAACCAATTACTATTTTTTTTTTACTATTTATTATATAGGATGTACGAGTAAAAACCAAAAATTCTATTGCTGATTTTCAAAGTTGATTAGCAGAAGTTTCTCTCTTGGAATATTGACAATAATCTTTCTATTTCTCCTCTAAAAAATCGCTCTTGTGCTCTGACTATAGTAATTTTAGTAAATATCCGGCAGAAAACATGTCAAAGCAGAATCGTCATTAGTTGTTAAACATTAAGAAATTTTGAAATTACGATTTTCATTCAGATAAAAAGAATGACATTCATAACATTTTATTTCAGTAGGGGGCACTTATTTAGTTAGTTAAGCTTAGTCTAGCACACAAGGCCACTAATTAGGAATACATTCTGAAGATGGGCCTTACTACACTCGTAATGGTTTATGACAAGCTCACTACACAACGAAGTGCCATATCGCATGTGTATATAATTGATATATATATATACATCGAGATTGAGGTTTACTCATATATATATATTTTTTTTTATTTTCAACATCATCACTTGATAAGACACAGAGTGTGTTGAAACAAAATGGCTATTTTTGTAGTGATTTTATAACATACTTATGTTATAATTTTTTTTATAAAAAATAATTATATATATATATATATATATATATATATATATATATATTAAGATAAGGATATTTTTATATATCAAGGACAATATTGTGGAAATTGTATGACAAAGTGTAAAGAAGTTTACAAGTAACGCGTTATGTCTTCATCGGACTAAATTGTTATGTTGGTACGACTACACATGCGCAGGAACAAGGGATGCTGCGGATTTTAGAATTTTGGGGGAGAATTTTTTATTTTTTTTATTTTATATCTAACCGAATTCATTTAGATTCTCTTTCTTTCCGTCACTTTTGTTAATAGGTATCCCACACTCTCATAATAAAAGGACGAAACGCGTCAAAAGCAAACTTTTCCAACTTTGCCATACAATTTCCCCAATATATATATGTGTGTGTGTGTGTGTGTGTGTGTGTGTGTGTGTGTGTGAGAGAGAGAGAGAGAGAGAGAGAGAGGGAGAGTATGCGTGTGATGGATTTTCCAGTCGTCTTCGGCAATTCAGCTCCTAGAACTGAACAGTCAGCCTACCCACACATATGATTTGCTTGTAGTGACGAAGGCAACCACACTTTTAGAAGAACTGAATACAGAGATCTGGTGCATATAGTGTGCCACAAGGTCCCCAAACGGCCAGCCTCAGTTTTTGAACTCAGAGTTGTCTTTCTTCTAGACTTGTTGCTAACTAAAGCTAAAAAGTTCAGTCTGTTCTACTATTTAACCCATAGCTGGTGGAGAAGAGATGGATTTGTGTGTAAGTGAATTTAACGAACTCAGCTGGAATTCGAACTCGGTTCTCCGATTTTTTATCCCGAGAACGCCTTCCCTTACACCACCTGCACATCCATATCTATCTATCTATCTATCTATCTATCTATATCTATATCTATATATATATATATATATATATATATATATATATATATATATATATATGCAAGGTACTACCAAAAGGCACTATAAAATTGACCCTGAAAAATTTCTTAGTCTGATACCCAGTTTCAACCGTAGTCACTTTGGCAGGGAAGGATTAATTCACTTAAATATTAGCCATATTAAATCTTTTTAGCTACTCCACATCATATAACACCAATATAATGAAGTAGCCAATACATATTTTTGTCAGACTCGTTAGGTTAGCTCTCATTAACTCACATAGAGACTATATTTCAAGCCAAGATAAAAAAAAAATTTAAAACATTTCCATCAATGAACTTTTAGCATTCTGATTTTATTTCGTGCACAGATTAGAAAATCCGTTTAAACTATATAGAAATCAACGTAGACAATTTTTCTATTGAAATACCAACCTAACATTGTTTTTATGTCATTAAATCGAATCACGCGCATTTTGCACAAAAACAAAGAAGCTAAAAGAGCTGAAATCAAGTTAATTTTTCATGATTTGGATATAAATGTTAAGGTTGTGATTGGATACTTAGAAATAACATTTTCTTATTGAAACGCACCTGAACTATTCGAAAATATCTATAACATTCAGTTAACTCGGATTTTTTGGCAATGTATAAGTCTTGACGACTTAATTTCAGTGCGCGAATAGAATTTGAAAGGTTTCTTCAATGTTGATATATATGCAACTGACATCCGAATATCCAAATAAGACGTGTCCTTAACTTAAGGGAAATCCATAACCATCAGCACCCAACAAATATCTTTTTCTTGATATTTAGTAAGTGGTAAGTCAAATTTTCATGATTAGTCAAGTAGCTTTCTTAATCCCTGTCAAGTAACGACAAGAAGTTATAGGTTTTTGTCATAATCTTTGTGTGAATTACAAGCAAACGGTCGTAATGTAAATACTGTAATAAATGAGGTAAAATTGTATGTTATGATCACAGTAACTTTTTTTCATTACTTAGAATGTGGAAAAAAAAACAGTTGAAGACTGATCAGATTGATAAGTCGTTTTAAAATATTACACTATTAAACTTATGAAGCATACAAATTAATTTTACAATATTGATTCTTTATATTCGATTCTTCAAAATAAAACCGTTTTATATTTTATTTGTTCTACAAAAATCAGAAAGAACTCTTAAGACAATATAGAAGAAAGTTAAGAACTAAATGATATATCTATAATATTTCAAATATGTATTTGAAAACAATGCCCAACTATTGCAACAGAAAATTAAGTGATGAGTAGCCTCCTTCATATGGGAGATCATTTATATTAGGTTAGAGATTTTGATTAAAATGAAATATACCTAAAATACCGAACCCAATATAATGAGTTGATTCTTTTATTTTGTTATTAGGCGAGAACAGAATGACGGAAAATAAAATTGCAACATCCTGAATATGTGTTTCAATTTAGTAAAATTAACCACACAGATAAATGTAACAGAATTACAGTAAATAATTCTGTACAGAAATCCAATACATGCACAGATTTCAAAATAAAGAGTTTAGCAAAAGTATTCAGATCTCGTATTAATAAACATTGTATCCTTCGTTTGCGTTGACACAGGCCTGTACTCTCATATGCATCTAATCATAAAGACCGTAAATGCTGTACTGCAATATATTATTTCGCCTATCTCGGACCTGTTAGCACAAAACAGAAGAATTGTTGACAGGCTAACTAAATGAGTCATGTGTCGCCCCTGTGTTCCCGATACGTTTTCAATGGAGGAAAATGAATGACAGGTTTTATCCAAACCTGCCCTCCATTGAAAACATATCGGACAGGTTTAGATAACGTGCTAGCTTGAGAAGTTTTAAATTAAGTTATAAGATATGGTGAGTATTATGGGGACCACAACGGCAGGCATTATTCTGTTAGGACAGTAAATTGCCTTCTTGTCATAGGAATGGCAGTAGAACGGATTGAACAATGTTCTGGTTGTACATGGCGCTGTTCAATCTTACCTCCACAAACATCAAAGGCAGTCAAGATGTGGAATTTATAGCAACATATGCAAGTGTGTCGGGTGAATATACTCTAAAAATATCGCTTCCTAATTGTACAGTATAGTCCAGATGTAGATTATGTATTAGTCAAATAAGGTATATTCTTGATTTGAGTCACTTTTTGACATCAAAGTCATTACTGCCTAGTTTCAGATATGATAAATCATCATATGTGCCAAACCATTGTGGATTAAGTTTATATATACTTTTAAAATGTTGTTTATATATAAATATAGAAATTTATTTAATAATTTGTAATTTTATTTTGTCTATACCTGAAAAACATTTTCACCTCTTTCTGAAATTCCAGGTGCTCTCAAAATACGATACGACTTCAGAACAAGAAATCCGCAATTGGATTAAACAGTTGACTGGTGATGAGGTCGGCACTGGAGCATATGAAGTTGAAAAATCTCTTCGAAGCGGTGTAGTCCTGGTCAAGTGAGTATATTGATCATTCGTCCATTTATTAGAGCACAAACTTTAATTTAATATGATTATAAAATCATAAATTACAGTTATTCCATGCACAAAAATATGTACCCGATTAGAATTTTTGCCTTTTTAAAAATCATTTCACATGAGGCAATGCAATGAAGCCACTAAAACTGAGAGAGAGGGTAATAAAAGAACAGGAATCAAAGAGACAGATGATGATTGCCATTACGTTTAAATTTTTGAAGTTCAAAGTTGATTGAAGAGCAAGAAGACGGAAGAGAACTCCACAAGCGATAAATGCGAGAGAAGAAACTGCTAACCCAGGAAAAATATATAAATTTGCTATATATAGATACATTGTTTGTATTATTTTCGTTTACCAAAATAATACGAATTTTATTCGTCTGATTTCCGAATATGTAGTTATTACATCCCACTTTTAAATAGAAAATTAGTTTTTATGTTTGTTCTGTATGTGTTTATATTTCATGTAAATGATTACTTTATTCGTAAAAGCTGTTTTCTCATACACACTTTGCTAATTATATACGCACACAGGTGGATAAAAAAGATTATTTTATTTTAGTAATATAATTATATTTCTTCATTGGGCCAAAATTATTGTATCCCGTCCATAAATGTTTTATGCATTATTAAAATAACCTCATCTTGTATGGAAATTTTTCTAAACGTTGCTTAGACGTGGCACAAGGCTGAAAGTATGTGGCATCTCTTGATGATCTAAATCACTATTCAGTCGTAACTGATCTAGCGAGACAAGCTTGCTCCCCTTGTATGATCAACTTTTTGAGTATTTGTTTAAACTAGTTTTTACCGTGACTTGGTGAATTGTTTATCTGAGATATTTTGGAAATGAGTCCCTTTCCTGTCAAAAAATATTCAGAGATATTAATAATATCATCTTAACTTTGATATTAAATAACACAATAAGCGATGATATGTAAAATGAACTAGCTAACGAATAATACCATCTCAGAGAGTTTGTTATAAGATTTACTTCTCGTAACTTATGTGTAGCGTAGGGCGGTATATAGAGCGGCCAGTGAATAACCAAACTTTCTAATACTCTTATGAAAGGTATGAATCCATTTTCTCCCCTCCCCGCTAAGAGTTAAATAGCAAGACAGACCTGGTAATATAAGCTTAACTGGCAACCAGTCTATCGCAGAAAGAAAGACAGCTTATTGCGAGAATTCTCCTATCAAGTCAGTCATTAATGGAAATGAAACATGATCACCCAAGGGTGAATCCCGCACGGTGACTAAGGAAGGAAGAAAGGAGGGAAAACAGGAAGGAAGAAAGGAGGGAAAACAGGAAGGAAGGAAGGAATATAGCAAGACCTCGAGGATTTTAGCGCTATTTAAATTGACAAGTCGCGTTGTAAAAAATAGGGAAGAATCTTTTAAACAGTGTTATAGATTTACATACATTAGACCAGTGGATCTCAACCTTTTTTTACCCATGGACCCCTTTCCCCTTCTTTTTATCTTGGTGGACCCCTTCATAGCTATTGGACATAAGAACAATTTTCTATTCTTCACTAATATAAATTTTAAGGTTTTAATTATCAAAGAAATAGTATACGATTAAGCTTTATTTTTAAATGAAAACTAATTTAATACAAATAAAATATTCTACTATAATTATAATAATAATTATTATTACTATTTTTAATTAACACAACAATTGAGTTTTGCCTGTGGACCCCCGGAAATATTACATGGACCCCTAGGGTCCATGTAGACCCCGGTTGAGAACCACTGCATTAGACTTACTTCAAGCCAGGTCAATTGCAAGAATAGAAAAAAACTGATTTTTTAATCATTTTAGAAGAGAAGTCCTGTTCATAACAGGACTCCATACAATGCGAAGCAGATCCGTGAAAGTTTTAAAGAATTATCTTGTAGTTTGTTTTTATTTACAAATCTCAAGATTGAAACAGTACTTATGTCATTGATAACTGCGTACTATTACAAATTGGGAAAAAAAGAGTAATACGCAGATATCAATTCTGTCTGTAGTACGCAGATATCAATGACGTCAGTATACGCATCAATGAGGTCAGTAGTACGCATCAATGACGTAGGCACAGTTACAAAATTGATATTTGTAAATAAAAACAAACTACCTCTTTAAGAAACCAGGGGTCGACTTGACACTGGATTGACATTATGAGCAGGACCCTATTTGAATAAAATTATAAAACACAATATTTTTTTGATCCTGACAAAAGTCACAGCTTGAGGAAGGTCTAATGATTGCTAATCTACAAAAATCATCACCAAATTTTTTCCATTTTTTTTTTATTTTATGTGGACTAATCAATTTATTAACCCTTTGCAGGTTATTTAAAATCAAAAAATATTTTTACATTGTAAGGATATTTTATGGAGGTAATAATGATTTAGCGATACAAGTCTTACTAATTAACCCATACCTGGGGAAAGAAGATTACAGCACCTGGTATCCCCAAGCAATATCTATTTAGGTATTGACCAGGCTCGATGTTTTTTAATTTCGGCGATCGTACGGGAACCGGTGGTTTCAACGTGATGTGGCCGTAAGCTTATGATTTAATAGATTTCATGTCATATACAGGGAAACAGCAATTGTGAAACAGTATAAAATAATTTGAATTCCATTTTATCCCGCAAGAATGGATTATTATTTCTAAAATAAATGTCATCAAACAAGTAAATACATTTTCATTTTAACACATTTGCTGTATAATTATATTAGACATAAAAATCAAATGGTGCAGAAATTAGGTATGCAAATGGATCGGTCAAAAAGTAATGTTTGTTTTTCTTTAATTAACAACCGATTTAATAGCAGACGCATACCAAAATGAAGACAGAAGTCTTAGAATGTAATCCTCAGCATAGCCATCTTCCTTATCGTTCTATTCCAACTTTGAATGAGGATATGTATCTCAGCCTCGTAGAATATTCTAAGCTGATCTTTTAACCATGTGCATGTTACTTTTTTGCCTCGTCATCATTGGAGAACTGTTGTCCTCTAAGCGCTTCCTTAAAACTTAATAATGCCAGGTTATGACTCCTTCCTGGAGTTTAATAGCATTTTGGAAATCCACTTTGCACAGACTCTTGTGTGGCCATAAGTCCGCAATACACTGCAGGCAGTACTAAAATGTTATTATATGCCAATAATATTTCTCTTTGACATTCTCATAAATCGTTTTCACTTTCGCGTCCTCATAAATCGTAGACTCGAAATTTTTTTTAAATATATAGACAACTTTTAAATATTCAGTTCACTATATTTCATTCTCATGATATAAAGGAACTTCCTAAATTATAGCGTCGTGCGTACCAATTATAAATATTTCTTCGCTATCCACCCTAAAGGACGCTGGTGGTTTATTTCAAGAAACAGCATATGCGTGAGTGAATTTGTAGGGTAGTCAGTGGGTAGGACAGACCCACATCTACGCTGTCGACTTTCGTGTCAAATCTAGCATTAAGGCGGGTTCCCGAGCGGTTGGTGAAAGTTTAGTTACAGTGAATAACCAGATCAGGCTTTGGTGTAAGATACTATTAGTAAAAGATAAATTTACCAAATAATAAACGTTATTTATCTTTCAAATTTCAACTTTTCAAATAATAAGTATCATTTATTTTTCAAATTTCCACAAAATAAGGTTCCATATTGGATCAGATCTTATTAATTTTTACTAGTATTTTTTACATCTTATTTCTCATGCTTTTTAGCGTAGCCCCAGATCTTCTGTCTGTGGTCGTTCAGTAATCAGTACGGATCAGAAATAAAGAACTAGCATCCCTTATTTTTAGAGATTTCTTTTGTCGTGATAGGCTACGAAAACTAACCATTAAACCTCATTCAAATTTTGTCCTGGAGCTCTATTCTTTCTGATTGGCATTACTTAATTAACAATCATAGAATGATGATATTGAAGTTGCGATAAAAACCAACAGAAATAAGTTGATAGAAACACGAATAAAAAAGTAATAATAAATAACGATGCTTTATCAAAGACATCCATAGACTGTTACATTTAATACGACTAGTGTATTTTTTACTGAAACGTAATAAAATCAGTCGAATTAATAAATAAAAATCTAACACTTCTTCAGAGACGACTAGTGTATATAAACAAACAAGATGGCGATGTGTAATAACAGGTATCAGAAGAAATAAAGAGTAAAATTATATGACTTATTGAACGATAATGTAGTGGTCACGGAAAGATAGAGTGCCATTATTGATCTCGATTTGCTAACGATCGATGAATGATGATCTGAGATTTGCTATAAAAGCAACAAAAATAAGATAAAAGAAATACGAATTAATAATTTTTGACAATTGTTCATCTAAGAAAATTCGCAGTTTGTTGCCATTTTTCGAAGATTGGAGCTCTGAAACTCGCTGTACACTTGCAAGCTCTAAAATTTGAATATCCAACTAAGTGTCACCAGTGAACTTGAAAATTATTAAAAGTAACATTTTCTAAGAGTTCAGAGTTATTGGTTGCCTTACATAACCTCATTTATTACAGCTTTTCGTCAGATATAGTTCTTTTTTTTATATCGTTATAGGTAAGATGCTTATAAAGATATAAAAAATTACATTGTTTAGCATTACAACAGGAATACTTTATTCCTTTTTACTGAAATACTAGTGATTTCGTTCTTCTTAGCATTTACTTGTTTGATCATCGAAATGTGCCCTTGTTTGTTTAGATCAGTTCATTTATTAGCAGTAATTACTTAATTGTTGCAAAACTACTTTTGTAATAATATACTAATTAGGACTGATATTATTTTCTTTTCAAAACGTCCTCGCTATAGAGGTCAAAATTGAGCATACTTTTCCTGTGCGTTGAAGTAAAATTATTAAATTTTTGCTATGAAAGATTGTTTATTTTTATACACATTACGAAGATTACTTTTCATTTCCTCAATCGTGTTAATAGGCTTTCTGAAATATATGAAGGATTATTGTAATGATATTGATTTTTTCAAACGCATTGATTCTTTTCTGTTGTTAATAAGATAGATGATTTATCGACAAGTTTTGGCTGCAAGGACACTGCTATTCATTATGCACTGTCTGAAGATTCAGTGAAAATTGTTAAATGTTGTAATTATCTGGCTCATCTTGATCAGTCATTATTCAGTAATTTATTCATCATAAATAAATATATAAAACTGCACACGAAAGCAAATTCATTCAAGATAAAATATATGAAAGGGTGCTTAATTAAGAAAGTATTAAAAAAAAATTCTGGTGTTTAGTCATTTTATCAGATTTAGAGATAGTGGATCTTTTCAGTATCTCCTTATATTTAATTACAAGTATGTCAAGTTCCAGCATATCGTTTTCAATGCAAATATTTGTTTTTGAAATGTATATGTATTTTTGCAATTATTTGTGAATAATAACCAATATTTTAAACCGAAGATATTTTGGAGTTTCTTATACAGATGTGTTTTTGAAATTCAAACACATTTTATAGTTATTATTAAATAATAAAATTATGTTTATTATCCCAATATGATTTTTTTTATAGTTCTTACATAGAAGAGAAGTTCCTCCAAGTTTAAACTCTACAAGGATTTATACATCTTGTATAAATATAATTCATATAAATAAAATATTGTTATAACTGCATCTATAATCCCATACTGCATAATTAATTGCCAAATAACGTAGATAAGCTCCGACATTTTTTTCCAATTTGTCTATCAAATGAAAGATTATACTGAAATTGTTAAGTCGCTGCGATTATTATTCACATATCTTTGCTGATACTTTGTTTTAAAACGTCTCAACCCAGCACGTTATCCAGACCTGTCTTCCATTGAAAATGTACGAAGCATGATGGGACAACACCTGACTCGTTTAGTTAGCCCATCTACAGTTCTTTCTAATTTTTGTTAAAAATTCCGTGATGTGTGGCATAATGTATTGCAGCATAGCATTTAAAGTTTTTACAATTAGATGCATAACACAAACCTGTGTTAACGCAAAAGGAGTATATACATTAAGTAGTGTATTAATATGGGATCTGAATAATTTTGATAAATCTTTTATTTCTGTATGGGATTATTTACTGTAATCCAGTTATATTATCAGTATGGCTAATTTGAATAAATTGAAATTCGGGATGTTGAAATTTTATTTTCCATCATTCTATTTTTGTCTAATAACAAAATATAAAAATCAACTCATCATATTGATTTCAATATTTTTGGCACATTTCATTTTAATCGTGCTATCATTCGGGCACTTATATTCTGAAATAATCAAAACCTGTAACCTAATATAAATGATCTCCCATAAGAATGATACTGCTCTTCACCTAACCCTCTATTAGGACGGACGGGGTATTGTTTAAAACCTTATATATATATATATATATATATATATATATATATATATATATATATATATATATATATATATATATATATATATATATCATTTAGTTCTGATCTTTGTTATATATTGTTTTAAGTGCTCTTTTTAGTTTTTATACAATAAATAAAAATGAAAAACCAAATTATTTTATTTTGAAAATGAAATTAAATAGTAAAAAGTTAAAATATGCAAAAATAGATTCCATTTTATTTGCAGTCTGATATTTGAAAACATTTTATGATCATTCCAGCTCCGCTTCCACTGATTTTTTTTTTGTTTTTGTCTTTCACATTTCAAACAATGAACTGTTTACTGTAATCTTTGCATATGTTTCTATCACAATTATTACGGACAGTCTTTATTTTATACTCACGTGCTTGTAATGTACACACATATTATGACTAAAACCAGTAATTAGTTGTAGTTGTTTGACAGGGGTATTCGGAAAGCTAATGGACTAATTAGAGGATTTTATTTGTTCCTTGCTAAATATTAAGGAAAGATATTTTGTTTGGCGTTCAAATATCCCACAGTACAAAGGGTTAAGGATAAATCTATTTTGTACAAGGCAATCTCAGCACAAAGTAGTGTTATATTAATTTCCACAAATACAAGAAGAGATTGGATGTATCATCTACAATATTTTGAAGAAACTGCGTTTCAAGTGTTATTCAGACTAAAGGACTCTTTCAATTTTAGCCTTTTGTTGTTTCCTGAAACGTTACATTCGAACTATTTTAAAATGTTTTTTGTGTACAAACTGTATCGATAAAGAGTGCCTAGTTAAGCTGTGATACGTATTGTTTCCAAAACATAGTGTTAAAAAACTATTGATAGCAGGTGTACAGATTTGTTCATTTCCAAACACGTATATGAACAATCATTTTTTGTTCAATCCGTTTGAAAATAAAATAAAAAAGACTTGCTCTTTTTCCATACACTTAAAAAAGGTTTTAAAAAAGTTCGATTGAGATGTTTTGTTAACAACAAACACGGCATACAAAATGGGATCAATCATCGAAATAAGTCTTGGGATTCTAATACATCAAAATGAATACAGATGGTTTCTTGAAGTTATACTACAATAACCATAATAAATTTTTGTATACCAATTATTGAACCCATTAACATCTCTAGTTATTTCTTTAAGGAATTACTAATACTAAACGGTAATATCGTTTTTGCTTTCAGAATGATGCAAAAGTTATACGAGGGAACACCTGACAACGAACTTCCTTCGGGTGCGAAAGCAGTGAATTTGAAGTTTAACAACACTTCAACGCCTTTCAAACAGGTATGTACACAACGTTTAAAAGGATATCTCGATCGCATAACTGATAGCCAGTATATACACCTGCCATAAAGTGAAGGACATTAAGCTAATCTCACGTGTTACTCGCTAATATAGAGAGATTGGCGCTCATTGCAGCCGCACAATTTTTGCCATGTGCCAGATTAATTTAAGCTTAGTAAATATCTGCTTGATAGCCAGCGGTATATAAAACAAATGTTTTTGCCAATATCGCAACTGTTTAATGCCTTAGTGAGATTGCTTCATCAAAAACTAAAAGTCATATATCCATAACACCGATAATGTTCTAAAGACATCGACAGAAAACACATTTCGTTGAATGTTTTACAAATAATTCTTGTTTTGTGTTAGATATGATAGAATCAGAATGAATCAATAATGGATGAATAATCAGAACAATTTATGGCTACTGATATTTACCGAGGATAGTATCTTAGAAGGACTTAAATGTTAAATACTTAGTAAAACGTGATATAATTTTAGTAATTATGATCTGCACCGCTGATGGTTATAAAATATACCTAATCTAGAATTAACCGAAAGTTTGATAAACATGTGTAGGAGTGTTCAGGATTTTAACATTCAATTAATAGCAGAAATTGGTTAGGATATTTATTGCAGTTAATTAATGCGGTCGCAGAATGGTTTATTACCTGTCTGAAAATGATAGGTTGAGCTGTTGTTTAAAGATGATAGGAGGACCCACTGTTAAAGATGATAGGAAGGCTCGTTGTTTAAAAATTACATGATTTCCCGTTGTTTACGGATGATTGAAGACCCTTTGTTTAAAGATGGTTGAAAGACCTTTTGTTTAAAGATGATAGGTTAGCCAGTTGCTTAAAGATGATAGGATGACCCGGTATTAAAAGATGATAGGGCGATCAGTTGTTTAAAGATGGCAGGCCGACCTATTGTCTAAAAATTATAGTAAAACCAGTTCTTTAAAGATGTTTAAAGACGATAGAAAGACCCGTTGTATACAGATGATAGGAAAACCCTTTTAAAAAAATAATATTTTGGTCACATGTTCCAGTCCTATTAAACTGAATGTGGACATTTCTTTGGAAATAAATAATCTCACATTATATTTCTTATAATAAAATTTTATAATAGTAGATCCATCCTGATGATCTTTTTATCTCCTTAACAGGATGCAAAGTTATTTTTAGATTGTTTTTTGCTTAAAGATTTATAATTTTAATTTTTAGTAGTTTAACTCCTTGTTCCCTGTTATGGGTTAAATATTAAGGCAGAGTAGGCGCTCTAACTTTGGTTGTCAACAAGTCTAAGTGAAGAAAATTGAGCGTACTGACGTCGATTGCGGGCTGGCATTTCACTTCTCATAGTAGAGAAACACTCACAGTCCTATCAAGAGGGCTATGACGTTGTGATATCGTAGCACACTATATCGATACACTCTTTGACGTCTCAAGTAAACAGCGCGAATTCATTTCCCACATCGTATGATCCTGTCTTTCACAGACGTCACCTTAACTATTCCAGCCACGTGAACATTAATAAGTTAAGCACACATATGTAGTCCATTTAATATCCTCCCCTATCCGATTTTTTTATGCTAACTTTATTTTGCTACCTAAATTCATTTCCAAATCATTATTGTTAAAGCAAATATGGTGAAGAGAATTGGGGATGAGGAAATAGTAAAATGATTACATTGTTCAACATATCATCAGTGTTCCTGTGGTTAAATTGATTAAAGCGACGTTCATGGAAGACAATGTATTGAGGTGTGGAGTGCGACTTCAAATCTTATGATAAGGAAGCTACTATTCCTGACATCGCACTGTTCGCTCTCACGACCGAAGAGTATATCAACCTAGAATGTTACGATAAAGAGCAACAATAATAAAATAAGACAAAACTAGTAATAAAATTGTAATACTGGATACGAAATATTATAACAAAATAATATATATATATATATGTGTGTGTGTGTGCGTGTTTGTGTATGTGTTTATTTTAAAATGACATAAGATGCTATAATAATCAAAAGCAATAACAATTGCGTTCCATAATATAAAATTGTATTTTTAAATTTTTTTGGTAGATGGAAAACATTGAAACTTTCTTGAAAGCTTGCAAGGCTTACGGTGTCCCAGATAACAGTTGCTTCCAAACTGTGGATCTATTCGAAGGTCGTAACATGGCAATGGTTGTTGCTACCATCTTGCAGTGTGGAACTGAGGTAAGTATGTTTTACTATTTTTTTTTTTTTTTTAATTTTTCATTTATCATTATTTTATCGGCTCCTTTCCTTCATGACGGTATTTTCAACATTTATTCATATTTTGGAAACAGCACTAGAAGGTAACTTTTTTTTTATCGTCTAATCCAAATTTCAAACATTAATTTTAAAATCATTTTACATGCATGACGATATGAAATCATTCTCTTTCAAAAAGGCACAGGTGCATACAAAGAAGCAAAAAGGCACCTTAATCCGCTTGCACGCATGCATGCCCACACGTATTTACATGTTTTCATGTGTACGCTGAATTTTATACACTATCGCTTACTCGTTCGTTGTATAATGTCAATGAAACAATATCAAGCTATATTAATCTGTGAACAAGAAACCAATTGAGAAGCAGCAAAATCGTTTTAAGCTACATAAAAAGAACTGTCATTCATAAAACCTGAAAATAGATTGCAGTTAAGAAGCTACATTATTCTTAATCGAATCCAAAGGAAGGTCATATCTTACACAAAAAATTACTTTTAAATTTGATTACGGATTTAAGAGATTTATTATTTTGTAAAAGGCATAAATATATAGAAGTAGTAAGGATATCAGTTGCATTAGTAATTTGGCTAAATGATTTACTAATTTAAGGCACAAACCATTGTCTTCCATTTTGAAAAAGTAATATTGGTTAAATTGCAGATAAGGATCCGCGGTCAGTTTGCAATAAAAATTTCCAGAATACTTATATTTAGGTGTAAATGTACAAGCTTCATTAGAAAATGACTTGATAAATTTGGTAAAATCTACCCTTTCGGAGTTATCGATAGTAAAAATTTGGATTCATTCGCGTCGTGGCAGCCATTACTGACGTTGTTTGCATACATTTTCTGCGGAACATCTATGAGTGGAATATTCGCTTGTCTTGGTTCTTGCGCGCACAATATAATTCTCTTGCGCAGTAATTGAGACAAGTTGAGACGAGTAAGATCAGTAAAAAAAAGCCGTTAATTGTGCTCTTCCACGCTTTTTAATGCAAACTGAGCGCGCGTCTTAATATGCAAATTAACCGAAATATTTAACATAAATACACGATATTTGTAGGTTGATAACATTTATTCTCATATCAATGAAAAAATAATTTTAATGCAGCATTTATGATATAAAAGCTACACTAATTTTTTAAAATCTAAAATCATTTCTTTAAGAAAAAACTGATAACCATTTTGTATATAGAACATAGAATGTAATGTAAGAAATATCTACTTAAAATCTATCGCAATAATTAAAATAACCAGTATTTGAAATACGACTTACAGACGTGTAATCACGCCAATTTCAATGGATTGATCCTGAAAATAATGCTGCGTGTTATTGACTGACTTTCTTCAGGAGCATTTACGAGCAATTATGTACGTTTGACAATGTACAATAGAATGAAATATCAAGTAACAAAACGAAACACCAGAACGAATACACTTTACACTGTATATAAAGCGATAGGCAACAAAGTAAAAGTAATACAAACTTATTACAAATATACAATATGAATATTAGTATTTACAAAACTTAGCTTAGTTTGGCACCAAGTTGCAAGAACGGGATAACCGGTGAAAAATCACGACAGTACTAATGGCGTATGAGACTGACTAAGATCGACTTTATAGTCCTTGAAGTCAAGAAATACTGTAGTTATCAATGATCATCAGATGTACAAAATGTTTCATACCTCAAAATTTGAATTCTTTCTACTTAATATATATATATATATATATATATATATATATAAGTCAAAATCATTAAATTTTTCTTTGTTCAGAAAAGTGCCGGCAAAATTTTCGAAACTATTCACGTATAAATCAGTTAATAGCTTTAAAAGATCTTATATCTTCTCGATTGGAAATATTTGTTTTGGAAGAGGAAAAAAAACAGCAAACCTGATGAGGTCGATCTTGACGTAAAGTCCGATAAGCTTATCCGGTAACAAATAAAAAAAATGATTAAATGTTATCTTAACTACCATTTACTCTTGCCCGTATTTCATGTTAATGAAAAGAGATCTCTCCCCTTCTTTACGGCTTATACACTTGAAGATGACTGTAGAATGGAATGGCTGAAATGTTGTGTCAAGACAAAGATGGAGTTTGATTAGCCGATTCGAATAAAACTTGAAATGCGTTAAATATTTAAAGGTAGCTTTGTGTTGGCTGCAGACAGACAGTTTCTTTTTCTTTCTTTCTTTTTTAATTAATCCCTATTTAACTTTTTAACTCGTTTAGACCCTTTTTTCATTTATTTGTCTTACAATATCCCAATTTTTTGTTCCTCGTTCGATTTTTCTCTCTGGCCTCTACACAGCTCTTCTAACCACTGTCTTCTTTTATACAATCAACCAATCATCTCGTCTGAATGCTTTTATGCACAGCGTTCTATTCCTTGTATATTGCTTTGTTCGGATACATTCTCTTCTCTTTCTTTGCTTTTTTTATTACGATGGTTCGGCTGCTGCTTTTATATGGCCGAATTTGAAATCGGGCTTTCCTTGGTTGTGCGTGTCAGGTACCCGAGGATGACTCGAGTCTGCAGCGATCGAAACGTTGGAGAAGAAAGTAATGAAAGACAAGAGAATTAGCCTGGACAAAGCGATCCATTGATTCTATCTATCTATCTATCTATCTATCTATCTATCTATCTATCTATCTATCTGTCTGTCTGTCTGTCCGCCCGCCTGTCTACACTTTATTATTCTGTATTTATGATAAATTCTATTTAAAATTATTTTTTAGCATGAGTAACGCTTTGTTATTGAATGAAGCAAATAATTTGTTCGAAAAACATGCTACTAAACTTTTGACAAGAGTTTTTCTTCGGAATAAATAATAATAGCAAAGATCATTAAGTCTATAATTTACATAAAAAAGTTCAACGGTAATCATCTTAATAAGACCAGTTTTCTTTTTACCAGTAGTTTACTATTCTCCAGCTATTTTCCGAATCAGGCATGAATTTCCGTGAGTATTGCCTCCTTCTTCCAAATGAGAGCACTGATTTGAAAAGAATTACTTCCCTTTGTTTTAATTTAACTAACAAGAGAGACGGTTGGACTGGTTGGCTTGGATACAGTGAAATTTTAATTCATGGAAGGCTGTTTTTAATGTAATTTTATGTAGAACAGGATACTTTTTTTTTAGTAAAAGTTTATATCTTTCATTTATAAAATGAAGGATTTCTTTGCAGGCAAATTAGTATTCTTAAGAAATTTTATTTCCAGAAATCATATATACACCTACATGTGTATGCGTGTGTATGTGTCTCTGTTTGTGTACATTAATCAAGTATATGAGTTATAGGCGTATAAATATACAAATATATACGTGGTGTGTTTGTATACGGTGTTAAATTTGTATAATAAATAAACAGCAAAGTATAATTTTTAAAATGATAAAAGAGTTTATTAGTAAATATCTGTTTTAATAATCTAGTTCTGAAATGATGAGTACTCAAATACAAATGTATTTCCTTTCAGTTAAATTTGATATGAACTATAGTAGATCACTTAGGGGTTTTGTCAATATATGCATCAATACAGAGGATCTATAAAGTTTTTGTATAATTCAGATATAAAAGATATCAGTAAAAAACAAATTGCAGATGAAAATAAATTTATTGAATATACAACATAATTTTTACAGGAATATTAACTTTTAACATATATATCACTTTTTAATGTAAAGGTAATTTCATTTTTGAAATTCAAACACATTTTGCAATTATTCGTGAATACGTGTATACGGCATAATTATCATTAAAAAACGAGAGTAAGCTCTGAAATCCTAACATTGTACTATAATTACATTTGAAACTGAATGACGTCAAAAGAGGGTTTACTAAGGTGCTACTTTAAAATGCTGGTAAAAAAAAAAAAAAACTAAAATTATTTATTGTGATATGCATTCTGCATCTACCGAAGTGTACAAAACGTGCAACTAACAAAATATAAATAAATTTTAAAATGTTTATGTATTTCTTTTTGTTGTTTTCATTTAATGTAAAATAACCTCAAAAGTTATCAGAAAATTAAAATTAACAATAAGTTTTAGAATAATGATTATCTGAACTGAAGTAGGACAGTGTTTTTAAAAAAAGTATTATTCTTAAATGTCCTATACCCAATGTCATCCTGCCGTAATATTATTTCTATAGCCCGTGGTAACATGCATCTTTGAAATGATAAGCATCGATTAAGATACAAGTAAAAGAGTCTATATTTTGTAATAAAAAATGACATTTATCTACGTCTGTGCCTGAAAAGAGATGTGCATTTTATGTATGAGTGCATGAATCATAACGCATAATATTTCGGGTTTTGGTTTGAATAGTAACGTCTTCAATTTTAATATTTTTGAAAGTCCTTTCCTCTAACTTCATAAAATATTTCTATTTGAATTTTGCCTATCTTTTTTATGGGGTGGGGGAGGACAAGATTTAACTACCAATCTTAAACTATTATAATAGAATATGCTTGGAGTTAATTCCTGTCTTTCTGATATATATTCCTGACTACATACATATTTAAGGGCCTGGTATAATTGCTAATATAATGAAGTCACTGCATAGTTAACTGAAACAGAAATTCACCAAAAATCCACTATAACTAGTTTCTGTAAATGTCGAAGTGTGTAGATGAAGAATTGACTATATATATATATATATATATATATATATATATAATATCAATACAATAATATCAAAATCCGCTAATAGGAGTTTTATGCAATAACAATCATCAGGCAGATAAAATAACTTATCCGCTTGATGACTTACTATTATGATATATTATGTTTAAGCTTTGGCATTATGCCCTTCAGATTATTTTACATTTTAAGCTTTTAGCTTATTTTACGCTTTGTTTACATTCTTACTATATATATATATATATATATATATATATATACACATATATATGTACATACATACATACACACATATATATATATATACACGCATATATATATATATACACATACATATATGCGCACATACATATAAATATATACACACACACACATAGATAGATAGATAGATAGATAGATAGATAGATAGATAGATTTAAGGTATGCTATATTTATGGATAAAAATTCTGAATATCAGGGATAGAGCATATGTAAACATAAATGTGGTTACTGAGGTCAACACCGAGCAGCGACAGTCTGTTTAGGTTTGAAAGCAATCTTCAGGCCAGAAGAATGCGTTCAAGCATGAAACAGACAGACTGTCGCCGCTCGGTATTGATATAAGTATTCGCGCGCGCGAGCGTGTATGTGTGTGTGTGTGTGTGTGAGAGAGAGAGAGAGAGAGAGAGTTTTCTCTCTAAATAGAATCAAGAATCATTTTGTGTGTATTATAACGAGACATCTACGTGGGAGGTTTAGATTAGTCATACTCTTTAGGGTGTCACTTCATTAAAGTACAACGACAGCCTCATAGATTAGTGATCTTGCTATAACAAAAATTATGTTGGGCATGTTAGCAGCGCTCATTTCCTCTAAGGTTCTGTAAATAGTCTAAACTCTGATTTGAAACCGCTACCGCAGCTTTAACTATTTAGATTATATTTAAGGCTGCTGCATTATTTTGACTAAAGTTGTCTGAAATTCAAAGAGACAGTGTATACCTTGTACTTGAAAATTACTTTTATCTACTTCCACTTTAAATAATTACGTCCGTACCTGAAACTATATGTGCATTTATGTGTGGGTGCATAATATTTTGGGTCTTGGTTTGAATAGTAATGTCTTCAATTTGAATATTGTTGAACATCCTAATTTCATAAAATGCTTGATTTTTCTCTATTTTTAAAAAAATCTAAGATTTAAATGTCTTAAACTATTTTATCATATAATATGCGTGGAGTTGATTCCTATCTTTTGGATATCTCTTCCTGGCTACATACCTGTTTAAGGGTCAAACCTACTTGCAGATATGATAAAGTTACTGCATGGTTAATTTGGAAAATCCTTCTATGTCAAGAGGAGAACATATCCCAGTTCTGCAGACACATTGCTGCAGGCATTAGGAAATAGTCCTGACTCTGTCCCTTTTACTGCAAAGAGGACTTCTTGCCTGGAAGACAGACATTCAACTGCTAGTCAACGTTAAGTATTATGGTATTAAGCATATCTTAATAGTTTTGGTACAAGACTACAAGTACTGGGCAATGGACTCAATACTCAGTTGCAATAATCTGTGAGAACTGCTGGTTAGCCATTACATTATTACGACGCGCCCATATTTATTAACATAATTAAGATTTGGTACAAGCTCATAAGTTATGGAACACCCAGTGAGGATCGAGCACATTAGGCAGTATAATTCGGAATAATATTCCTATTTTGTTTTATAGCAACGTTTAGATAGAAGGAAAGATATGAAGAATAGATAAATCGAAACGTTGTGATAACAATAACAAAGATGAGGATATTAGTTTAAATAATTCATACTCGCCCGAATAATAGCTTATAGTTCTAACGATTATTGTTATCAAAACTCAAATCAGTGCAAACATTGATATATTCAGGCACACTGGTGAGCTTATCTTAGCGTAAAGGTTAACAATCTAGTTTCCAAGACCAGTTTACTATTGAGTTCAATCTTCGCTGTATGTTTAACTGCTACGGCTTTAAACCAAACTAAGCTAAATTTAGTAGATACATATTCGGATGCATTGAAATTCTCTCTTTAAAGTATTAACGGTAACGTATGTTTGGGTCGATTGTTCAGCATTTTAACTTCAAGTAATGCAAGATTATATAAAAGACCGTGTTTGATACTATCAGCTACGTAAGGATCTATAAGTAATAGCGTATAAGCTCAATGCTGCTTATCCAGAATATCGATGCTCTCTTATAAGAAAGAAACCCTCTAGCACAAGTTCAAATTATTCTGGTTCTTTTAATCATAGCTACAAGTGAAATATTTTCATTCATCGATACATCGTTCGGAGGTTGAGGTCAGTAAAGTTGTCTCCCTTGATACACCGTCATGAGACGATGGGCCGTTTTTTATATGTTTATTTTAATAATTACCTACTGGTTGCGCCTTCCATGAGTTAATTTTGCTGTATTTTCTGTATTTTTGCAGGCCCAGCGCCTTAGTTTCCAGGGACCTGTTTGCGGCCCAAAACCTACCGAGAAGCATGTTGTTAGTTTCACTGATGAACAGCTGAGAGCTGGAGAAGGAATCATTGGTCTCCAGGCTGGCACAAACAAATGTGCCAGTCAGATTGGTATGAAGATCGGCGGCGTACGACATATCGCTGACATCAGGGCCGACAATCTTGACAAGACTGGCAATGCAGTCATTTCTTTGCAAGCTGGTACCAATAAATATGCCAGTCAGAAAGGCATGTCCTTTGGAGCTGTACGACATGTGGCTGACATCAGGGCTGACGATATACAGCAAAACTCCCATGGCCATATCGGTCTCCAAAGTGGGACGAACAAGTGTGCCAGCCAGGCCGGCATGATGGGCTTTGGTGCAGTCCGCCACATTAGTGACATCAGAGCCGATGACATGGACAGGGAAGGACAGTCCGTGATTGGTCTTCAGGCTGGTAGCAACAAGGGTGCTAGCCAAAAGGGTATGGTCATTGGAGCTGTTCGTCACGTAGCCGATATTCGAGCAGACGATCATGTGAAAGAAGCTGAAGGAGTGCTCAGTCTCCAGGCTGGTACCAATCAATTTGCAAGCCAGAAAGGCATGACATGTTTTGGTGCAGTTCGCCACATTGCTGACATCAGGGCTGATGACATGAACAAAGACAGCGAGGGATCTCTCAGCCTGCAGGCCGGTACCAACAAATTTGCCAACCAGAGCGGTATGAGTTTTGGAGCTGTACGTCACGTCGCCGACATCAGATGTGACGATATTTCCGAGGATGGCAAAGCGACGATCAATTTGCAGTATGGTAATCCCAAGGGAGCTAACCAACGTGGTATGAACATTGGTAAAGCACGACATATTTGTGATTGAAGTCTCGTTCCAACAGTGGCTTGAAGTAACATCAACAGAAAGGATAATTTAACAAAGGAAGAAAGAGAGCAAAGAACGAACATAAGCGGCAGCCATGAGAAAAGAACAAGTGCTACACAAAAACAGAAAATTATCATTTTTTTTTAATTAAGTATTTAACTTTAAATAATAAGAAAAGCGGAAAATGTGAAAACAACAAAAGAACAAAACGAAACATCAGACTCTTGACATTTACGAACAAGCGAACAAAGAACGTGGCTCTTGAACTGTTACTTTTGATTTATAATTTTCAGGAATGATCATTCATTCAAAATTGCAACTTCGGTTAACGAAAAAAAAAAAAAGAAAAAAAAGATCCCCTTTTACTTAGTGTTCAATCCCATTGCTTAAGTCAGTGTCTTCAAATAAGCAAAAACAAAAAGGATGGTTCATGAGCTAGGATATAAGTAACACCTAAGAGACAAAATATTTCGCAAATATTACAAAAGAGACACATGTACGCAATAACCCAAAATAGATTGTTCCTTTCAGATCACTCATGTGTTTTATTTATTTTCATGCAAGTCTTTTTTTAAGAAAAAAACAAGAAGGTGTTTTGTTTTTCTGTTGTTTCTTTTCTTTCTTTTGTTAAAATAAAGAAATGAATAAAAAAAAGAACCAAAATTCATACAGTTATAAATCAAACATAATGGGAATAAAGAACTATGCAAGAACTAGAAAGCAAAGTAGAGAGATAAAACAATATGTCTGTCATCTATCTTCGAGCTATGGGAGGGGGATTTTTTCTTAATACATTTTTCCTTGAGTCAAAAACAACGACAAAAAAGGCCTTCCATTTTTTTTTCACACTTTCCCCATTTTGATGCCTTTTTCTTTGTGTTTACTGTTTTTTCCATGCCTTTGCATTAGCAGAACTTAATTTACCGGGATTTCTTTAAACCGTGCAGACAACTTTTAACAAAGTTTAAAAAATCGCTGCTATTTTTCTATTAAAATCATTCTGCTTTAAACAATATAAATTTATTTAAAGACAAGTTTATTCACAGCAAGTTAAAAAGAAGAAAAAAAAAGAAAAAAGAAAAAGAAATGGAAGAAATGTAAAGAACGGTCAATTTTTATGTCGGGATTTCGGTTCTCTAAAAAGACTTTTTAAAAATTCGCCAGCTATGTTTCGACGTACAATAAAAGCACCATTCAACAGTGGTAGCAGCTGTGTTCTTTTTTTTTTATCATCCAGTGTCTTCCATATTTTAACATTTTTTTTTAATTTGTTTATTTATTCGTTCAAATTTCTTGTCTTACGAGTAGTTGCTGAAATGTTCATGGTCTGGTAAGAAAGAATCCAAAAGAATTCTGATGCTTGATTATTTGATCAGATTTTGGGAAGTGGGGCGGATCAAGAACTTTTCAGCACCCCCTCGTACGTAGTAAACAATGTATATGTACTGAAAAACTACTGGTAGATTTCATCATGACTGAGAGAATGGCTAAGAAGAGTCTGACAAAGGTTATTCAAGTCACGGTTGAATTAGTTAAAATCAAGAATTATGCTTACTTTGGTATTTTATTCACCTAAAATGTCAAAATAAAGACAGGAACAAGAAAAACCCTATGATAATTCCTAGCTGCAAATTAAAACCTATAAAGTTAAGATGTTTTAAAGATTTTAGACAAAAAATCTTTAAAAGCAGCTCCGCTGTGATTTTAACGTCTTTCATTGAAAGTTTTTGAAAAAAAAAAAATCAAATTAAAAAAAAAAAATGAAAATTATTAAAAATCCGAAGAGAGAAAAAAAAATGTAACATTGATGATGTAGATGGATTTGTTATTCAGGGAAAGATAACACTAAAGCTTTCGCCGTACACAATATTTTTTTTCTTTTTTTGCTTTTCGCGATTTCACGGTACGCAATGAATACACACACACACACACACACACACACACACACCAAAAAGAAACGCTTAAAAAAAAAGTAAAACCCCCACCAAAAAAAAAAAAAAAAATCAAAAATATTTATTTTTTAAAGCGTTATTTTTTCAGTATTTTATCATTGCACACCCTCCCAAAAATTTGTGATCAGTTTTTCTTTTCTTTTTTTTTTTCTGTGGCACCAAAATGTATTTTAAATAAGGACAGGATTATAACATATTTGGTTAGCGTTGGAATATGAAATCTCGGCCACCACTACCATCTCTTTTGAAGAATGTCTATCTCAATCTTCTGTGGGGATTATTTTTTTTTTTTTTACTGAAAGACTTAACAAACTACTTTTACATAATTTTGTTCATGGGATACTGTTCTAATTTTCTGTTTACCTTTGATATTAAAAAAAAAAAAAAAACTTTAAAAAATTTATTTTTAAAGCTGGGTTATTTTATTTTTTCGACATGATAGAAATTGGAACGTGACTCCAATGAATTTAATATACACCGTCCACATTTTTAGCTACTGTTTTTAAAGTAGGTGGGAAAATACCTTAAAATTCATTTTACAACGCTTTCCAATGAAACTATGTCCTGTTAGACATTTTAAATTTTGAAAAAGAACAAACTTAAGACAGCCTAAAACAATAATGAAGAACAAATGCATACTGGAAGTGAGAAAGAGAGAGAGAGAGAAAGAGAGAATGAGAGTAAGAGAGTGAGAAATAATGAAAGAAAAGAGAGAAACAAGAAGCACAAAATCCACGATGTTTGTTGTCGATGCAAACTATACAAACAGCAGCAATGACAACTGCAACCATATAAACTGGATTTTATCGGGTACCAATGCCAGATGATGTACTTTTTAAATCTTCTGTACTTTATTAAAACTCAATAAATTGGTATTTATTCTTAAAAAATAGAGAGTTTAGTTATTCTTTATACAAATAATTACGAGTGGATTAAATATTTGCATGAATCTGAGTACATACACTCTCTGAGCGATTAAAAGAAAACGAAACCATCATAAAACTATCAGTCGAACTGGAATTTTTAAAAATTAGGAAAGAAATCGGATAAACTATGAAAATTTATATTCGAGTAACTAGCACACTTTTTCTTGTAAGGTTGATAGGTTTATAAACTGCTGTTTGTAACGTTATTTTTAATTTTAAAAGTCTATTTTTGAGAAATTCTTTAACGTTAACAGAGATTTATCTTATATTCTAGAGATTTAAATCCAATATTCTTAACGATAAATTGACTTGAATGAGGGGAAAATGATGTTTGTATAAATAGGTTTGAAAGTATGATATCGGCAATTAAATCAAAAGAGAATCGGTTTGAGTGTTAGTCTCTTTGGACTTCGTTTTTTTTTTTTTTTGCACTTTTGCAGCTTATCGCTTTATGCTTTTAAATTTTGTTTCGGCTTGGCACTTTATAGCTCGCTATTATTTGTTTTTTACAGTGCACGTCGTTCAGGTTTGTTTTGCTTTTTAGTTAAATGCTTTTCTTATATTTATTATGCTTCTTTGAATATGTTTTCATTGTTTTGTTTTTAATTCTATTCAACAGTTTCTGTATCGTCTTCGATGAGAGTCCAATTTCTAGCGCACACCTCTTCAAGCATTAAAAAACACCGATTTTACCAACATCATTATTTACTTCATTCCCTCGCCTTCATAATCTTTTCTACCATCACCTTCACATCATCTTTTTGCCCCGCGGACCTACCCGCAATGCCTGGTACACATCCTCCTCGACGTCATCTCTATTAATATCGGAACCGTCGCCAGAATGTTTTGAGTAGGGACACGGCTTTAGTTCACACTTTTCACGAGGTGGGTGGACAATAGTTTTCTGGGGAATTGTCCCTCATTTCCCCACTAAACGGACGGGTCTAATTATTTTCGTCATCATTACAACAGACTTTTCTATATCATTACCACCAACATCATTAATTCTTCAGCACAATAATCATCTTTTTACATATTACTATAATCTTTATGACCAACTTTTCCACTGCTATTCTTAATCATTGTTCATGTTATGAATACCGTCACTAATCGTCATAATTCTAATCAACCTCTCTTTCGTACTCTTTCTCAGTTATTATTGACATCAATCTACTGTAGGACCATCTTTATTTGAATTATCTCCCTTCATAATGCTTCCATCTTCTCAGAAACAGAATCAGCTTTAAAAACATTTGGAATCGACAGAAGAAGAATCGTAAAAACACTAGCAATCTCATCATAATATTCAAAGTCTATAGGTGAGACTTGTAAACGTAACATCATTGTTAGAAACCTTTAATGGCTTCTAGTTAATTATGAACAAATAGAGATCACCTTACTAAGGTGTTGTTAACATAACATGCGAAAAAATCAGAATGTGTAAAAAATATATCATGTCTAAAGAACACGAAAGTTATAATTTCGATCGATAAATATATAAAAATGTGGAAAAAATTGTGATAATAAAATGTGTTTATGACTGAAGAGTTAAAATGAAGTGAATCTTTCTAATCAATGTAATTTTGTAAATCCAGTCTAATTATATAATTATTTAATGGCGGCTTAATATTTTTTTTCTGAGGAATAACTCCTGGACAATTCATTTGACGTTAAACTATTATAATTGCTCATTGCAAGATGATTTTATTTAAGAGGATATTAACATTTTATTCTTCATGTTTTGGTTGGCTTAATTTGATTAATGTTTACTTGATTTCAAGAATAAAAACGAAAATGTAATATTCATTAAAAAAATATTTAATACTTAAAAAATATTGTTAAATTTTAAAAATTTTCTAGGGAACCAATATAAAAATTAACTGATGTTACTTTTCTTAGAAAGCAAAATTGACAAAATTGTGAGATTGTTGTAGAATTTGAGGGTTTAAATTTAATGCCCGTATCATTATCTATACGCATTTATGGATGTGTATTTAGTCCGTTTCACATGTCCATTAATTAATGAACTGATTTAAGTTTAGATTCTAAACAAGTAGGTAGGTACATAATGATAAAAACTTCACATCTTATACAAAAGATCACGGTGAATTTAAACAGGTCA